CTAAACCTGAACCAAAAGTTGTATTTTTGTAAAGAATGTGTAATTTGCGTGAAAACATTTATGTTCAGCCGGGCATTGATTTGGGTGGCAAAATTGGAATTTATTTTATTTTTATTGAAATTTTCAGGACGTTCAGAGCGAAAAGTCTTCAATAGGACGACGAAGTTCTACTGAGGCAGAATCGAAAGTTGTAATTTTTTAAAAAGAAGGTGTATCTGCGCTAAAATATTTATGTTCAGCCCGGCATTAATTTGGCTGAAAAAAATTCAGGATTAATTTAGATTCAACGGCAACTTTTAGGATCTTGAGATAGAAGAATAGAATTGATTTGACTGGCAAAAATAAATATTTATTTTAATTTCCTAAAATTTCCCGAAAATAAAATCCGAAAATTTGACGGTGCTACTTGGCCTCAGTGGAAAGTTGTGATTTTTTGAAAGTGGCATGTAATTGCGTAAAAATATTCGTTTTTAACCTAGAATGGTCTTGGATGAAAAAAATCAAAAAATCTGAAAGTTCCCAAACTTTCCGAGCAAAAAGCATTTTACAGATGCGGAAATAGTCACGTTGGTGCATGCCTGGGGTTTGGAGTTTTTCAAAGAAGTGCAATTGTGTGGAAACATTTTTTTTTAGTCCAACATTGGCAAAAATCAGGGTTTATTTTAATTTCGCTGAAGTTTTGAGGACTTTTAGATTCGGCAACGTTCTATTGAGTATAAAATTTTCAACTTGAAAGTTGCGCTAGGACTTTTACATATTTAAATAAGGACATGCAATGGCCTAACAATATTCATTTTCAGCCCAGCATTGACGTGGATGGCCAATCAGTATTTGATCAGATTCTACTAAATTTTTCAGGACTTTTGGACTCAAAAGTCCTCAATAGAAGATAAAAATTTCAAGTTGCTGCTTCATTTGCGTTGGAAATTATAATGTTTTAAAGGAAGGCGTCTAACTGCGAAACAACATTCATTTTCAGCCCATCATTGACTTGGCCGGCAATGTTTTATTTCGGTTTAATATTCAAAATGCGTCACATGATGAAACAACTAGATTGAATTTTTCGCTTGTTATTATATGTCATGGTTAAGTTGATGAAATGTTTGGTTGCAGAAAAATTAGCCCATTTAATACTGATAAGGATCGATTATTGGTACTAAACTAGAACAGTGTTAAACGATTAATTAATTAATTAAAAGTTTCAATTGCCAACTTTAAGGGACAACATGCACTCACTCAAGAACCAATTTTTAATCAAGCGAACCTCTCTGTAAATAATTACTGTATCCAGTTACTTGCAGTTATACTCTAGTGAACCATGGGTTAATATGAGATTAAGTTTTTCTATTTGTGAGCAAAACTAGCGCTTGAAGTGAACGGAATTTCTGAAAAAAATCAGATCTACGTGCCATAATGGATTAAGTGAAACAATGTCATTCTATAAACCCAACTAGACCGTCTAGATTCGACTCATTTATTGTTAACTTAACGGCAACGTGTAGGTGATGCTGTGACTTTGCAGAAATCGCGATTCCATTGTTTCTTGGTAATATCGATAGACTTTTACTTTCCGCTTCCCAAGTTATTACCGATTGGTTATTTAATCAGACCGCAGCTACCTTAAGGAAAATTACATGCCTAATTATATCCAATTTTGTTTGCAAATCAGTCGGATATTAATATAAATTTATTTAAAGCTTGCTGTTTGCAGTTCTCCCAACCACCCGGTGAATGGCTAGAAATACGGGTGGTCTGAGTAACGGATAAAGGCGTGTAGATGTTAAGCATTTCCTTTGGGAAATCAATGGCAATTTTCGCCAAATAAACCTGGGCGATGATGATCCTGTTTGAAGTAACGATTGAGACGGAATGCTAATTATCGTGGATTTTTCCTTGAAGTGAATTGAGGCAATTATGCATAACAATTATTTAGAAGAAGGAAAATTAGCTATACAAGTAAACATTCATGTTATATGTAATGCCAGCCAATTAACTAGATTGAAGATAATGGTTTTTTTTTTGGTATTATCTTGACGGTTTATTAAGGTTACCAATATGTTTTGTCTTAATAACGACCTCTGCATACAATTTAAAAAAGACAAATTAATCGTTGTAGAAAGTCTAAATCACGAATAAAACAAGTGGCAAACAGAACAGTTAATAATCCGGTTAACAGAATGAATAAAGTCGCATTATGCACAAAGTCCACACAAAATCGATTACGTGAATTCAAAAAGTGGGTTAAAAATTATGTAAAGCGCAGGTTTAAACGAAAATAGCACTTTCACTGCACCTTTAGGGCATGAATTGCTTCCACTTTGCCGAGTCAACGTAAGAAAGTTATTGCGTGATGAATGTTAATGTCACAATGTGCCATCAAAGAGATGTTACGATGGAAAATAAATGAATATTGACACAATTCCTCCAAGTTGTTTTAATTGTTTTATTAATTGTGTTTTTTACAAAGTTCGCTGTTTTGCCGGTGGTTCATGGTCCAAGGAAAACGTGAACTTGTAGACGCATTATTTCGATCGAATAATTAGAGAGGTCTCGAGTGTGAGATCGTTTTTGCATTTTTTCTGTCCACAAAATTTACTATTTACATTAATTTAGGTGACTGAAGTGACACGCGATTAATAATAAACTAACGCAATTTTGGAAGACGACAATATGCACATTGCGACATTATCCCATCAATTAGCTGTTGGACGTTGTAACGAAATTTCATTGCTGTAGACTAATTTGCGTACAGCCATTATATAACAGCCAATTTACGCAATGATATATCGATAGTCACATGGTCGTTGATCTTGTCGTCATTACCTCTTGTTTAGTACTTTCCTCGTAGTCATTAAATTATGTACTTGAAATATTGTTTTAGAAATCCCTGATGGGTTGATGATTTATTTGGAAACGCCATCAAAAGTGTAGCAGCAATTTGGCTTTTTTACTTTTACCATCTCTGAAGCTGCAAGCCACTCGTGCTAGCGAAACTTTAGGAAGACATTGCTGCTGTTTGGGTTAATCGGGCTTCAGGCCAACCGTCGTAAAACGTTTTTTTCTTCTAATGCTTATTTTGCTTCTTCATTCATTCCGATGCATTTTCTCTCATTCAGGGAGAAATTTATTTCATTTCTTTCCTCTTATTGAACTTCTCTGTATTCTTCGCCTGTTTACGCAAAATGTCGCTTAGATTTGTCTTTCTTGGTTGAACGTTTCACAAATCGCTTAGAGCATTAAACTATGTACATATTTGTCTTCAAATACTGTTTAAAAAATCCCTGATGGGTTGCTGACTTTTCTTTGGCAATTTCGATGTTTTATTTTTACCACTTCTGAAGATAAACGCCACTCGTGCTAGTGAAACCTTAGGACGACATTTTCCTTCTGGAGCATCGCTTTATTTTTACTCTAAACGTGTTTGAGTTTTTGTCCTTCTTGCTTGTTTGTCTGCATCCATGGGCAAAACCCAAAGTATTTTAAACAGTTTCACAAATTGGCTAATAGCTTAATATTCAGATATTAGCAGGAAACTATATTTAGTTGTTAAATATCCGGAGAACCAACATCGGTACTTCACAATTATTGTGTTTCGCACGTAAAATATTTAAACGCCTAGTTAAACATATTTATTGCTATTGATAATTTTATAGCCGACATTCTCAGAAATCCCCTAGTGCTAAAATAAAGTGTTTAATTAATTTAAGCAAATAAAAACGGGTTTAAAAGTGCGAATATTTGCCGGGTGAGAAACACATTTGGGTTCTCTAAGGTGTGATTTTAACCCATGAAGTCATCAAACTTATTTTCGACTGAAAACCTGCTTAGGTTCTTCTAGGTTTCAGGTTTCAACCCTCTGTATAAGCGAATAATTGCCGGGTGAAAAACACATTGGATTTCTCTAAAGTGTGATTTTAACCGAGGACATTTTTTAACTTTTTATTGACTGAAAGTTTGCTTAAGCTTTCCGAAAAAAGTACTTTTTGTCAAATTTCGACCTCTTGTACGTGCTAACAATTGCTGGGTGAAAAAGACATTTGTTTTTCCTAAGGTGTGATTTTGAGGGATGAAATCATCAAACTCATTATTGACTGAAAATTTGCTAAGGTTTTTCTAAAAAAAAAAGCAAATAATTGCCGGATGAAAAATACTTTTGATTTCCCAAAAGGCATAACCTCAACAAATGAAATACTGAAATTTATTATTGATTGAAAATTTGCATAAGTTTTCCAAAAAAAATCAGTTTTCTTCACATTTCAACCCCTTGTAATGCAGCCAGCTTTAGCTCATGTTGAGTGCTTTTTCAGGAATAAAAAACCGATAAGAAAATGTTGAATGCACTTGAGGCAAACGAACAACATAGATAACATGTATTAAAACACCTAAAAACTGTACAGTAATAACGCAGATACAAAACATTTTTAAAATCTACCTTTATGTATACCTAAATAAAACACAGCGCCAAGAAGAAAACCATGTTCCAAGGAAACTTTCACTTTTTCCACATTTTTCAGAAAAATATCAAAGAATCTTTCCTTCCATCCCAACAGTGGCCCTCCGCTTGTAAATGGCAGCATAGTTTCACTACTAACTAACCAACTGTGCAGTTGACCAGTTAAACGGCGAATCATCCACTTGAATCCTCTGTCCGTTTGCATTCTCATTAACCAAATTGGCTTCATCTTGCGCATCTTTATCCTCATTTTTATCACTAGATTTGTCCTCACTGTCTTTGCTTCCCTCCTCCAGATCAACTCCAATGGTTTCTCCGATTCTAGCAGAGGCGTGACTGAAAGTGTCGCTCAGCTTGTCTTGGACCACATTGATGCACATCGTCATCAGGGCCAGTCCGAAGCACAAATAGACAATGGAGAGGATCATATAAGTGGGCTGTTCAGGAACAATATCACCAAACCCGATGGTGGACATGGACATGAAGACAAAATAGAATGAAGCGAAAAAGTCCCATTTCTCCCAAACCATGAAGACTGCCGCTCCTATTAGCATGTACGCTACCAGTAGAATCAGCGCCAGGGTGATGGGAAGGTTGAATTCGTCATCGATTTCAAATGAAGAAATTGCGGGGGTTTGAGGCTCTAAAACAACCGCAGATTGAGGCTTCGGAGTGTCTGGTTCTGGCTTGGGCTTCTCATCCTCATTTCCCCATGTGGACATTCTTCGGAAAGTCGCATATTCGTACATCACTTGAGCACCTTTGATGATTTCCTGGATTTAAATTAAATTGCTCTATATACAGAGTGTTTTGTGGGTGTGCGTCCTACCTGCACATGACTAGTTTTCCTGACTCTTCGACAACTTCTCGTGTAGTAAAACGTGCGGAAATACGACCACACAAACTTGATTCCTCTGGTGAAGAGTTTCCCAAAGTCGGTAAGAGCAATCAGGAACAATGGAATGCCAATAGTGGAATAAACTATGGTTAACACTCTACCAGTGAATGTGGTAGGATACAAGTGCCCATAACCTGCCATTAGGGATTGGATTAGGCAAATGCTACGTTGTTCGGTTGGGCGAAGGCTTACCAATGGTGGTGTAGAGCGTAGAGCAGTAAACTACAGCATTCCATATAGTCCACACTCTACCGTTGGTGTGGGAAACTACCAAGGGATGTTGCTGAAATGCCAAGGTGATTTTGCGTTCAAATTTCACTAGTCGTCTAGCTGCTTCTCCCGACCATTCTTTTTCGGAAAACTGCTCAGGCACACTGAGGGATTTATATCGCAGCTCGTTTAGCAGTTCTTTGACTTGGAGTTCGATGTCTCGTTCAATTAGTTTCGTTTCGTTTTGACCTGGAAAAGTTTACTGAGGAAAACGCATTTTATGACCTCTGCTGGGCTTCACTGTTCGTGTTAGTGCAAGACAGACGTGCCTTTAGGATATTTTTCTAAAATCTTATCACTACTGCTCATGAAATTTTCGGTCAAAAATGCATTGCTTCTGACCTGAGAACTTGATTGTAGGCGACCAAAATTCTCTTTAAATATGGACAAAAATGTCACTTATTTTGCAGCTGAAGCTCTGGGGTGTTTCACATTTCTCGCGTTCTTGTGTGGAAAACGAAGTAGAATTCGAGGCATTTTGAGAAACTTGATATTCTTCCAAAAAATCGATCTCTAGGAAATTTTATCTTTTATGATAATTTTCGGAAAAAAATCAAAATTTCTCATTCAAGTTTTTTGAGCTCCATGAATTGATTCTTACTCAAGAAGCTTCCAAATAAGCCCATTTAAAGTGTTAGAGTTTATAACAAGAAAGATCCCGATGGTCAAAAATCTTAGATCATAAAACCGCTTAAAATAGACCACAAATGTCGCTTTTTTTTATTTGTAGCTTCTGGTGTGTTTTTCAGCGAGCGTTTTAGTTGTCTCGCTTTCTTGTGATGGAAATTATGTAATTCCAGGAATTTCAAGAGACTTGATAGTTTTCGAAAAATCGACCTCCACACTATGAAAGTTTCGGTTAAAAATCGAAATTTTACATGCGTGTTTTTTAAGCTCAATGGACTCTTTGCGATCTAAGAAAATCCCCAATATGTATATTTAAAGCGTTTGAGTTTATAGCAAGGAAGATATCGATGATTAAAAATATTAGAACAAAAATCGCTTGAAATAGACTTAAATTATCACTTATTTTAGATCTGAAGCTTCCAGCATCTTTTTCAATGTTCGCATCGCATTCTGCGTTTCTTTGTGAGGAAAATCATGTAAATTCAAGCGTTTTAGAGGGACTTTATATTTTTCGAAAAACTCGATCTCCACCTCTTATGAAATTTTCGGTCAAAAACAAGAATTGCGCATTCATGTTTTTTGAGCTCAATGAATTGATTCTTACTCAAGAAGCTCCCACATAAGCATATCTAAAGTGTTA